GACGCTCCCCATGAGTGATGCAGCCACTGCCATGGAAGTGCACAGCACACCGAACAGAAGACCTGAAATAAATGATGTTTATGACCATTGATCTCCTTGAGGGATTCCCACCCAGAACTGTCCCTGATGTTAGTGCTATCTGGAGGGGCCTCAGTGAGGAGTGCCCTGCCCATTCAGCCATCACAGGACCTGAGAAGGGCCTTGAGGTCACCTCTCCTCCAAGAATGTGCTTTCTCAGGTGAGTTACAATGTACTGGAATTGAGCCTTGAGGGTTTTCTTGTCAAGATTCCAGAAGAAGTCTGTCATGTAGAACCAACATGAAAATGCAGAACAGATCCAGGCTAATCCACAAGACTTTAATAGGAACTGAACTCAGGCAACCACAGCCAGCAATAGGCCAATGGCTAAGTCATACCTACACGTTCTACTTCACAGGCTTTGTGAATCTGGAACACTCTTCTAATTTTTCCCTTTAGTGCTTTATTTATACTGTTCTTACGGCTGTTTGTTATGCTGTTGTCTCTAGGTATTTGGGGGCAGGGGAGGATTGGTTCCAGGACCCCTGTGGATATGAAATTTTGCAGATATTCAAGCCCTTTAGATAAAAGGGTGTAGTATTTTCATGTCATCTACACAAATTGCCCTATATACTTTAAATTGTCTATAGATTACTTACAAATAATGATGAAAATAAATGAAGTCATCAATCATCTCCCTTTTTGAGAGTCACCTCTTCCCTTACTCCGTTATAATTGGTGTGCTTGGTTACATCTGTGACTAGTTGAATCTGCAGATGCAGAACCCATGAGTAGAAAGTGCTGATCGTATTACATAATGTTGTGTTTGCATAGCTCTACAAGGGTGTTCACCATACTGTGCTCCTCCAGTACCAAGGAGTTCACCACAGGAGCTCATATGTTATAGTCATCTTCATAGGACAATCCCCTCTCCGAAACACTCCATTAAATATATATTATATTATATATTGTATTATCTATTATATTACATATTATATTGCATATACAATACATATATACATCTTGTTTAAAAACTAACACTAAAAGGACACTGAATTGCAGTAATAACCCAAAACTAAGCAAGAGAGGAAGAGGTAGGCAATCAAAGCATGTGAGATACATAGAAACCCAGTGATGTAAACAGAAATAGGATTGCCTGCATTTTACCTGAATATTCATTCTCTTTCAGCTAAATATCAACCTAGTTCTCAATGTGACTGTTCAAGGTTATTGAGTGCAGAGTATAGGTTGGACACTTTACCAGACGTCAGTGCTAAAATGTCAGAATTTGATTCCTGTCCCCAAAGAGCTCATATTTTAGGAAAGGACTTCTCAGAAAGAAATTGATTTACCAACAAGTAAATATCCATATATTTATATATATATCCATCTTTCAATATAATCTCCAAAAACAGTTTGAGTACATAGAAAGTGCTATGAGTGTACCATTATGATTATCTTATTTCAGATTTTGTAAAGGATATTTATTACCAGAAACATATTATTTTTTTTTTTTTGAAGAGGTTTTTGCTATAGGGCATATGTGCTCTCCAGAAAGACAGAGAAAGACAGAGAGACAGAAAGTGAGAAATTACCCCCCCCACAGGAGGAATGGCCACACCACAATCCCATCTCCACTATTTTCCTCTCGGGATCTTGGGCACACACGCACATGCACCTGGCGTGAGTTTAAGCTGCCAGGTCTGGGACTCGAACCATGGTCAAGTACATGGGAATCCAGCGACATAGCCATTACACCAACTGCTGATCCCCAGAAACATATTCTTAAGATCAAATCTGGTTGGGACCAGCAGGTGACTTTTAAGACACTGAACACCCACATGACCAAGCAGGACCTGGGGGCTTGAAAATCACACTGGGCACATGTGCATGTATGCCCAAAATCCCAGGAGGACAATAGAGAAGAAGGGATGTGGCAAGGCCATCCTCCCTAGGGGTGATTTCTCACTTTCTGTCTCTGTCTCTCTGTATCTCTCCAGTGAGTGTATGTGCCCTACAGTAAAAATCTTTCTCAAAAAAAAAAAAAAAAAGAAAAAGAAAAAGAAAGAAAGAATAATTAAACTTAGCCAAACTACTGTTCAATCTGATAAGCGCAACAGTGATTATAAACATAAAATGTGATGGTATGATTAAACAAGGAGCAAATGTTTTTTTGGGATGAAGTTACTGGGAGTTAGGGAATAAGGAATGATTCTTCAGAAGCCAATTTTTTTTTTCTTGGACTATGTGACTGGCCATTGTGTGCAGAACTTCTTCCCATGTAGAGCAACTAAGACGATCATCACATAGCATCACAGGCGATGTTGAGGATGGTAAGTCTACACAGCAGGTTGAGCGTAGGAGAGAAGGCCAGCGGAAGGTGAAGTAGCTAGTCATCTCTTTCTGGTGTCTTCAGAAGTGTAAGAATCTACATGTGAGAGGCTTCGTGTAGCTCAGTGTGCATCCGTGCCCGTGAGAGTATCCCGAATAGTGTGTGCAGCATGTTGATATGTACCATGTACATTTCACCATATGGAATAGAAGGCCCACCAGCTGTACCTACATAAACCTTTACTGATCCAGGTGCTCAGCTTGTCGGAGACATGGGGAAAACAGCTCTTGACGAAATCCTCAAAGGTCACTGTTGCTAAAGCATTGATGCTGGCGGCCACGGTGCTAGAGGGAGAGAAAAGCAAGAACATAGTCCAAGCTGAGTAAGGCTGAGCTACCAGCTCGCCCTGTGACAGGGCAGAGAGATGAGGCAGGGTTCTGGGGACAAGATGCACACATGTGTGCCTGTACTCTGGACTCCAGGAGAACCGCATGGCCTGTTTCCTCCTCTTCAGAGTTTCTTCTCTGCCGATGCTTGTCTGGTTCTTCCACTAACTCCAGTAACCATAACTAATTCCTCTTAAACGATGTTAAATGAGTTAATATGGAGAAGCAGAGGGATTGTGTGTGCATGTGTGTACACTCATGCTGAGGGTTTGGTGGCTGGATCACATACTCTGGGATCAGGAAGTGGTCTGGGGTAGTGTCTTCCCCCCCAACCTGGAGCAGAGATCTCTGGTGTCCTGCTCTCTGTCAGGTGCCCCTCCCCGGTCCTTTGCCTGTATTTACAGTTTCGGGAGATCCTGAAAAGCAATCTCGGCGGCCTCAATTAGGGCAGGTAGCCATTCTCAGGACTGGAGTCTGAGGGGAGGAGTGTGGTCAAGGGGAAGTATTGAGATTCCTTAACTTCTGCTGTGAAGGTCAGTTGATGCTCTCCACAGCACATTTGGGCATGGGTAGCAGAATGTCCACAGTCCTTGGTCTCTGGTGTGGGGGGGTTGGTAGGCTCCACCCGTGGGGCACGTTCACCCGTTCCCCCTAATCATAAGGCTTCTCTGCTCGCCCAGGGCTGTGGCAATGCCAGACTGCCTGTCCTGATCATCAACTACAGTTTATCTGCAGGTTGAGTCTCAAACGTGTCTTTTGAGCTCCTGGAGCTGGGATTCAAACCATCGTCAGTCATGTGGGATCCAGCTCCCTTAACCACTAGGCTATAGGCCAGCCCATTCAAGAACTTGTGGGGACACGTTTAAGAGAGAGAGTCTGAGGTGTGGGGACATGCGCTGAGCAAACACCCCATGCTCTTTTGGGGTTTGGCAGAACCTTGTAACTTGTCTTTCCTTAACCTTGGTGGCAGACAGAGCAAGGGTGGAAATTACTAGGGGCACATCTCATGGACTTCAAGAAACATCTTGACCCCAATTAGTAAAGTCCAGTCCCTGCTCTGCATCTGAAAGGTTCTTTAGCGTTCTCTGGGTGTGGTGGTGCACTCCTTATGGAGAAGTTCTTTAGCTCCTTCTCCACACCTAACAGCTAGTTCTCTGCATTAGAAAAGATGAGATTTACTCTAGATGGGATTACCACCAAGGGATACACCTTTGCCCTGGGTATGACTAATCCCTTATAGATTTGTTAACTGCTTCTCATTGTCTGTAACCTGGCAACTAATCCA